CGGGCTTGGTGCTTATCCTAGGCAGCACAGGGCAGGTAGGGGAACACTGTGGGTGGGGTGCCTGTCCATCAGAGGGTCTCTGTCTCACACACAGTCTTGCACACACATCAGTAAATTTCTTCTTTTCTCTAGATAGTTACTGGTATCTCGTGGAATGGCAAGATGAACACTGCTTTAGTTCCCAAACCTCTCCTCAGGGGCACCTCAGCCATTCCATGTATTCATTAAATTTCACCACCAAACGAGATGTGCCACTGGTTGAGTCAAAAATAGACAAGTATATTGAACAGTTACTGCAAATACTGGAGAGGTTTAGGAGAGGTTTTGAAATTGTTAAAATTTTGACAGACATAATAGCACCAACATGAAGATCATTTAAACAATTTCAATGTCTGACTAAGACTTCTGCATGGTATATACTGTAGTATGTTGTTCTGTTATTCAGCCATCTCTTGTTGCCCTGCATTCAAATTCTGTACAGATGTTAATTTCATCAGTCCATTCATTAGCCATAACTGTTTATTAAATACAGTTACAGTGAATGATCCATCCATTTTCCATACTGTTATTCAGTGCAGGGCAGTGGTCAACCTGGAGTCCATCTCAGGATGCAAAGGGCATAGGGCAGGGGACACCCTGATCAGTATGTCACTTCATCACGTGGCACACTCTCCTAGGGGAAACCCATGCAAACACAGAAAACATGCAAACTAAGGTTCATCAAGAACAGGGGTGCCCAATCTTATCCACAAAGAGCCGGTGTGTATGCAGGTTTTTGGGATAACCTGTAGGTCAGCTGTTCAAACCCAGGTGTGAGGACTCTTCAGCCAATCAGTCGTCTAATTAGTAATCTAATTAGGGAGTTGCAGCAAAAACCCGCATACATACCGGCCCTTTACGGATAAGATTTGGCACCACTGATCAAGAATAACAACCTCACCCTCGACAATACAAAGAAGCTGATAGTGGACATGAGGAAGAGGAGGAGGCCTCATCAGCCACTGTTCATCTGGGAGTTTGAAGTGGAGAGGGTGAGCATATTTAAGTACCTGGGCGTCCACATCAGTGAGGACCTCACCTGGTCACTGAACACCACAAAGCTGGTCAAGAAGGCTCAACAGCGGCTGTACTTCCTGAGGAGGCTGAGGAAGTTTGGTATGTCAACCAAGATCCTCAGCAACTTCTACAGCTGCATTGTGGAGAGCACATTGACCAGCTACATCACCGCATGGTATGGCAGAGCTACAGCTATGGACTGCAAACGCCTGCAGAGAGTGGTGAAGACTGTGGAGAAGATCATCAGGACTCCGCTGCCCTCTTTGCAGAGCATCTACCACCGCAGAGTCCAGAGGAGAGCAGCCTCCATCCTCAAAGACCTCACACACCCCACAACATGGACTGTTCATACTTCTGCCCTCAGGACAGAGGTACAGAAGTGTGAAATCTAGAACCTCCTGACTCAACAACTCCTTATTCCTCACTGCCATCAGACTCCTTAACAGCCGACAGGAGTATGATTAGTGGACATCATCACCTACCTCATACTGTAATTTTTTGCACATGAAGCTCTTTTGCAGATTATACTTTAAAGTATTTTTTTTCTATTATATTGTACCTCAGCATTTTGTGTGGACAGCAAAGAAAGAATTTCATTGCACAGAGAAATGCACTTTTCTACTGTACATATGACAATAAACGCTTTGAATCTTGAATCAGACCAAGCAACTTTCCTTTCCTGTAGCACCATAAGGACCTGTTCAACATCAGAATAAATGTGATAATGGTAATCATGTTGTTTTGCTTGGGCTATCACATAAGACCTCTGAGAAAAGTTAATTCCTAAATGCCGATCATCACTCATCAGTTCATTTAGGCCTTTAACAGTTAAGATGAGTATTTTGCAAAATCATCTTTTCCTGTATTCATAGTAATAAAACAAAAGTTATGGCATCAAATTGTGATGTTGACTGGTTATTTTAATTTCTACCATCAGGCTAAATATGACACTCCAAAATACCCACATCTATTGCTGTGGATGAGGAATATAAAATCCTATAGATGATCCAGTAAGTTCAAGCTATAATAGTAAAGAAAATGCATATTTTAGGAATTTGAGCAAATTCATTTCAGCAAATAATGGCTTTTTTTTTTACATTTTTATTTTGAGAGCGCAAGTAATATCACCAGAATCAACCTGCTTCAGTAAAGTTTTTGTCCCTACTTTTCATTTTTAATGATTTTGTGTTTTAAATTTAAAAATGAAAGGGGAAGGTGGTTTTGTGGGTTAAGGCATAATTATTTCAAGTAGACCATTACATTGGTTTGCAGATATTCTATCATCTAATGCTTTCAGAAATACTATATAACATTCAAAAGAAAGTAATGGAATGTGACCACAGGCATACATTGAGGGGTTATTTAGTGTCAGTTATACACCTGAGCAACTCTACCTCCAGATTCTGTATGGATACCAGAAAACCACGACCTCTTACTTGGCAAACGCGCTTGTGGTCTAACCCCACATACCCAAAAGCTGATGAATCCTATAGGGACCCCCCTGCTCTAAAACGACTTGCAAATATGTTCATTTTTACAGTAATGAAATGTGCACTCCAACAATTAATTTAATTATTTTAATCTTTTGCAGCTGCTCGTTTGGTAAAGTAAAATGTCAGATAAAATATGTCAGATAAAGTTGTGTGTACAGCAGCTCATTTTCAGTTAATTGTTATTTGTACTTCTTCCAGTCACAGAGCACTTTATTTTGAGACTTAAGTGAGAGAAGATCCTGTAACTTACTGCAAGTTATGGGAAATTGTAAAGTTTAACATTTTTCTTTTATTATGAAAATAAAATTTTGCATTGAACAAAAGTTCTTTTTTGTATATATTTGCTGTCATAGTTCTTAAAGTCAGAATCGACAAAAACTGGTATTGGCAGAATTGGCCAGAAAAATTGCAGTCGGTGCATCTCCAGTAACAGTCAAACTGTGTGCAAATCTACTGTACTGATTTTCAGTGCTATAAACAGGAAAAACAATTATACAACCACCATATAAATAAAAACAATTCAAATTTCCCCCTCAGATCAACAGAGGGAAAAACAAAAATTCTTATTCACAGGGATATTTCAGGAAACTGCTTTTTAGGCTTTGTTCAAAGTAGTTTATTCTGCAATTTCTTCACATCCTTAAAATAAATTGAATGTACGTGTATATTAACATATACCTTTCCCCCTAAGACTGTACATTGTTTAATAAGACACCAAGTTACATACAAAATAAAAACCACTCCTTCTGCACATAAAACAGTGAAGTCACTTTCACACCATGCCCAGACTTCAGCTTGTTGTTTTGAAACACTTTAAAAAGTTCACATTAATATTGACTTTTTTTTTCTTTTTCTTTTTTAAAATTGTACATGATGCATTGTTCAGCTTAGTTGCTCAGGAGGTGACAAATTTCGGCAAAGAAAACCAAGGATTTTAGCATGTAGATTCAGACATTTTTGGGGGGTTCTCTCTGAACATTAACAAGAATATTAGAATAAAAACCAATGCAGAATCACACATCTGAGAAACTACACACAAACAATTGTAAGACTCCTGTCACTGGTCATGGTGCCAACTCTCCTACCTCACCTTTAAGTGATACAGAGCACCCCACTCCAAATCCCCCACTACTCAGGGTTAATTTTTTTATATCACATCTTATCAGTCATGCCTATTGTATCTTATAGTAACATGCATGAAATTCTTTCATGTACCGATATAATTCGGACTGTCCAAAACAGTGTGTTTTAAAATGGTATGCATCACCAGCCTTCACCCTTTTTGCATAAAGGTGTTTCTTACTCCACTTCACTCATGTGCCTTCAGTAGAAAAATCACAAGTCAGAGTTCCTACACTGATGTTTATTAAGAACTCAAGATGGCATTGTCAAAAAAAAATAAAATAAGACATGAATTTAATACATGTTTGTCTCCTAAGGACTGAACTGTCCCAAACTTAAGGTAGTGAAATCTGTCCTCTTGCCCAGGGGAGATGGAGAACCCCACACAATAGCATATGGTCAGAGTGAAAGGAATAAGAATTCTTCTTACCACCCCTCCCCCTCAAAAGGGGTGGTGGGGGGGTGCCTTGTGTTTGGGGGCCAAGTGATCACTAAGGCACAGAGGGGAGGGGGGCTAAAAATCCCAGATGGTTAAAAATAATAATAAACACAAAACTATGTGTCAGGAGGTACTGTATTAGCAGCAGCTTTTTTTTCCTCCCCCGGACGAATACTCTGGCTTTGCACGGTAAGAGTTAAAAGACCTCGTCACTCTCAGCGGTGTGCAGCTGGCCATCATCTGCATCGGTCATGCTGCTCTCCTGAGACTCCTCTGCCTCTGCTTCCGCTGCAGATACCAGACATCACCAAAAAAAGGTCACATTGTCCTTTACTGTATCACACACACACACACACACAAGTTGGTCTTCCTATCTAAATGGGGACCGTCCATTCATTTCTATGGGAAAAACCATAATCCCAATCATGACACCCTCAACCCCTACCCATCCCTAACATTAACCATAAGTAACCAACCCAAATACAAGACATTTTTACTTTTTTGATTGCATTCACAGATTTCTATAAAACTGAGGTTATCCAAATGGGGACCTCAAATGTCATCTATGTAAACCCACACACACAAAACTGCAGCTATACTTGCTGCACACTGTCACACTATGTTTAGCAGTAGATGCTCCTCTGAGAAATCCACTTACATGTTTGTCATGAACAAGTTATTTTAGTATAGTATAACCAACTTGTGGGGGTGGGTTAAAAGGGGAATCCCAAATAGCAGAATTACAAGATAAGATGTCAGACCCATTTTCCTCCTATATTACCACTACATAACATCGATGAAAAATGTTCACCTGAATCATAAGGGTAATTGTCAGGAGTGACTGGCTCATCATCATCAGGGAGATATCGCTTGTCTATGGCCTCTTTAATCTGATTGTTTGCTCCTTTGGGATCCAGGTCCATCGCCCATGAGAAATTCATAAGGGCCAAATGTGTCTGGCCCAGTTTCTTATACACCTACAGGTAACAAAAGTTTAACAATTAAACTTTTCACAAAACAAAATTCCTTTTAGGCATATCAAATGTGCAAAAACTACATCAGGATAAAAGTGTGGAGAATACCTTTCCTATCAAAAAGTAAACAAGGGACTCTTTGGGCACAATCTGTTTCAGTTCTTCAAGTTCCTGTAGCGCAGCCTATTGAGGGTTTTAAAAAAGAAAACATCTGTATGTAAATTAACTCTGTATGACTTAAGACCCCTTCAGAAACTTGAACCTGTAATGTCAAATTACAAGTCCATGAAATTTATCCACTATGCCACCTCTTTAATTTAGGAAATTTCATCACAAAAATGTCTTGTAACTTTACAAAATGGGGACATTAGGCACTTTCCCATAGCAGGAACTTTTTTCTGGAACCAGGAACTTGTCATGTTCCCACTGCAGGAATTCGATTGTAGTTCCTTGGAGTTGGTTCCGGAACCTCAGAAGTAGGTACTTTTCACTCAACCAAAAACTACTCAGTGGGGCTTACAGTGATAAATTCTACTGACTGGTTGACCACAAGCACCGGCACTGACTTGGAAATTACCCAAAAGTGTGGGGATAAGAGTGGTAAAGGAAAGATTGAACAGACAAAATAATTTTTGTATGTTACATTAAATGTAACTAAGAAACTAAATACAAAATATTTCCATATTTCTGCGTTGGAAAATTCTACCGTTAACAGACATACATCTAATATTGCCGGTGCCGGCAGTGAAGCCAGCCATCGATTAGGGAGACTGGGTTAACAGCTGAATACCTCAGCATTAAACAAACATTTTGAAATGACACTCTCGTTAACAATTAGGAAACATTCATACTTGTAAATATAGTGCAGACTATTTGGGTAGAAGAATTGGCATAGTAGACAAAAAACACTTTCGTCAAAACAATTAACGTGTTACCTTGTACTTTTCATTAGCGAAGAGAATAGAGGCCCTGTGAAACTTGCATAGCGGATTCTTGGGGTCAATATCAATGGCTTTGTTCAGAGTTTCCAATGCATGGTCAGACTTTTTTAATGCATGCTGTACCTGTAAAGGAGACAGATTTCACGGCAAATACAAAAATCTCCAACTCTGCTGAACTCAGATATTTTCAATGATATACAAATTTACATCAAAATTGAAGGAATAGTCTTGGAGACTTTCAAGAAATTCCTTTATAAAATCTTGTAAACCCACAGCCCAAAAGTTCAACTTCTAGCATTTCTTACGTATTTACTATTTTATTTTGTTGCACTGTCTGGGAAAATGGTTATGGGTGGCTCATCTTCATTTACTTACTACACCAATGTGACAGAGGAGGACAGAACTCTGGGGGTTGATACTGAGGGCTTTTTTGAAGTGGATTTCCGCTAAGTTGAACTTCTCCTGTTTGTAATAGATCATTCCCAATCCATACCTAGGTGGTCAGAGAAATCATAGGGGGATGATGAGGTTTAGCCAGCGCCATACTTACTACCTGCTTTAATGAGTAATGGGAACTCCACACATTAAGCCCCCTACCATGCATTGTAGTGACGGGTGTTGACACGGATTGCATTCCTGAAACAAGCAAGTGCCTTCTCCAGCTCTTCTGTTAATACAAATTCGTGGCCCAGCAGCGTGTATGCATAGGCAAAGCTGGGGTCTACTTGGATGGCCCTCTGAAAGAATTTGATGGCGATATCATGCTCCCGCTGAAGGCTGAAGCAGTTTCCAGCAACACACCAGGCCTGTAAACACCAGTTGACAAATTGCATCACCAGGAATTCATCTCGCACGTACTGCATGAACAAATATTTCTGGGACTATTGTGTGCATATAACTAAACCATTTTCAAAACATATCAAAAGTCCCTAGGAAGGGAGCTTCTTTTGTAGTCTTGAAGAGGACTAATATAAACATTACTCATTCTCATGGACAAATGGAAACGGCAAAGGATAACAAAAAAAAAATATGAATGTTTGAAACTTCAGAACCTTGGAACTCAAACACCTTAACTCGACTAACTCAGACGTTGAACAGGTCTGTTGAATTTTTTTCCCCCCAACTTGTACCTAGACCGAAATCTTGGAACTTGACTGTTCTTGCTAAAACTTGTATGTGTCGAGATGCATTCAACTCTACCAATATGGACCTTGAATGAGTCCGTCAAGAAAAATCTAACAGCAACTTGCCCGAAAACTCTGAACCCAACAGACCTGCTAAAACTTGTAGGATCGAGACGCGTCTCTGACGGGCTGAAATAAAGGCACACGGACCTATGGGATGCTGATGCCTATAAATTGCTGTCAGTGTTGCTGTACTTTACCACTGAGTTCACCATGCGAAAGCTGCGTTTCTGTGTTGTGTGAATTTTTAGTGCTTTATCTACAAAACATTTAGTAATACAGTAACTATGACCCAAAGAGTAAAAGTGAGTAACTGTAGAACTTGAAAAGGAAATTATAGTGAGACTTGAAGGTGGTGCATGTGTGTCTGCTCTAGCTTTGGAGTATGGGATTGCCATTTATTTTCTGTTTAATGCTTTAGTATGTGTTTTATAATGATTGTTAATGCTTTTCATCATTAGGTAGGCAGTTAAGTTTAAATAGGCAATCATTTGGGGATATGGAATGGATCAAGTTAAATTATATTATTTCTTATGGGGAAATTTGACTTGGACTTTGACCAAATCGCAACTTGACCAGCCATCTGGAACGAATTAAGTTCATGTTCCAAGGCACCACTGTATATTAATAACCACATGTATGTTTCATAGTCCTCTTGGTTGGCCTGAACCTAGACTAAGATTCATAGCCACCTACACAAACGAGAATGGGCTAGGCACATACTTCTGGTGAGTTCTTGTCCATATCTGTGAGCTCTTTAGATAAGGCTGATAACGCCACATCTTTCTGGAGATGCCAAAGAGTGGTAGAGTAAATCTCCATCCCTTCCACCTGATAGCTCTCGATACGACGGACCTCAGAAAATATCCGCTCAGCCTGCAAAGAGGGGATACAGATTAAAGCCATTGAAATTTCACAAACTGTATAAAATTTCATAACTTATGTTCAACTGTACATGTTGACTGTTTACACACAAATTGATGTAGGGGTGGGTGATGTGACAAAAATATATCATGATTTTTTGAGGCAGGATCATGATCCACTATCTTATAGCGATTCTTTTTTGTGTTGGTTTTAAGACTATTTTGCAAGCTATTGAACAGTAGAATCAAACTAATTCTCTTATAAAAAAATATAGCCCTATAAAGTAGGGCTGCACAATATCACATTGGAACATACTCGGAATTATATGGCGCATGCGCAATAATCACCAGGGTTTTGGATGAGGGGCTAAACATCTGCCCAGACACCAGCTTTTTGGTACAATATGGACGTTTACTTACGCCCACAATTCGGTATGCAGGTTAGTACTGGGCCAAAAATAGTAGTAATCTGTATAAATTCAGGATATCCTTATGTTTCATAAATGTGTTAAACTGCAAGAAGTACTGCCACTGTCTTTTTTACCTTGTTAATCCACGCTATCTCCTCTTGCAGAAGATGTTGTGGCTGCTGAGCTGTCCCTTTCTTCACCGCACTTCAGTGCTTATCACTTCCAAGATTTACCAGAACAGTAGCATGTGGCGTGCTCCACTAACGGAATTCCATAAACATAAGGATATGCCGAACTTATACAGGTTACTAACTTTTGGGCAGCACAATACACATTTTGTTAATGTTTTATGTGTACTTCTAATCTGCTTATCAAATTGTGGGTGTAAGTAAAAGTCCATATAGTACCGAAAAGCTGGTGGTTGCACAAATGTTTTGCCCATCGTCTAAACCCCTGGTGATTATTACTCCACATAATCACATGTACATCGCGATGTGATATCATGCAGCCCTACGATAAGGTAATACAACCTAAAACACAAAAACAACACCATACCCTTTCCCGCATTCTTTTGAGATGGCTAAAAAGGCTCGTCTTGTTACCATCCGACATTATCTTTGCAAATTTTGCAAATAACTTTGTGCAGTGTCAGTTTTGGAAAATCAAAACAAGTGCCATATTACCAATGTCAAATTCTTTTTAGGGACCAACTCCTCCATGCCCTCTACGACATTTTTGTCAAATAGGGAATGTGTTGCATGTTGGAACGAGGGCAGGAAAGGGAGAAAGGAAGAAATCCAAAGCAGTACCAACTATTTGCTATTACCAGTTTATTGGTGTGTCGAAATGGATCTGGCTGACAAAACAACCGTAGATATGTGTATGCGCTATAGAAATGCAAGTGAAAGTATGCCCACCATAGCATGGTACTAACGAACTCTCCATAAAGGAAGATCTTGGGGACATTTTAAATTGCTCACGATCCAAATCTCCCACCCATAAATAGAAGTATACAACACAACTAACTTTTTATGCTAACAACAAAGCAACCAGATATGCTGTCTGGCATTAGTATGCCTTAACCTTTCCTATAATACATAAGGAAACTAAATATCTCTTCAGCAATTACAGAAACAAGTGTGTTTTTGTGGGTTTAATCCATGAACTTTAATAGTATGCATGTCCTTTATGTTGGTGTTGTACAGGTGCACAGGACAGAGTTATTAAAAATGCAACAAAGAAAAAATACTGCAATAACAGTTTTAAAGAGTTATACTGAAAATCTGCCAATAAGATCACTGGTTTACATTTCCTGCCATGACTACAGAAGCAGACAGCAGCTGCTTACCTGCATGTATTCAGCCAGCTCAAAGTGCGCTCGTCCTATCTGACCCAGAACCCAGCCCGTGTTATAATGATGAGAGGGAAGCTGGCTCAGGATGTTGATGGCCTCTTTGCAGTTGTAGGTACAAAGTGCTAAGTATCCCTTCCCCATCTCTCGCATCAGGCTCATCAGCCCATCTGCAAAAAAGGAAAAAAAGAAGAAGAAAAAAATAATTAAAGCTCAATTTTCTTAAAATCTTGCAAATTAACTGTCAATTACTGATGCTTAACTGAAGGTGAGGCCAGAGATGTCACAATTACTTGATTAACCCCAATTACTTATGAAAAAGTATAAATTAGTTATCCTAATCAATTACTCAGCAATATGGTAGAAGAAAGATGGGGCACAGAGGATGAAGGTCCCAATAAAGACAGATAGCATCATGTGTGGAAACACTTTACATTTAAAGTGAATGAAAATGCAGTTGACTGTCAGTATTGCAAAGAAACAATCACCACAGCAAGACTGCAATGCAAATATCTGTAAAGTAGACGTTCAGGTTTGACAGACTCAGTAATGCGAGGTTTACCACAGATATGTGCTCTTTAGCCTCTCAGAGTAGCCTACAACAATATGACAAACCATTTTGCAAAAATTTTCTACAATTCCAGTATGTCAAAACGATCGCTTCTAAAACTAAGATTAGCCCCGTCACTTTGTTCAATATGGTTGAAAAACAATTTTAGGTCACTGTAAAACATATATCAATATTAAAATTTCTCAAATACTCAAATCAGGACAAGGTCAGAATGAATTACGCTTTTATTTATTCACATCAATGGTTCTCAAGAGGAAAACATAAAATGTCTGTCTCTGCTGAACGAAGTATCACATGTTCCAAAAAAAGAAAAAAAAAAGAAAAAAATTTTGAGCAAGTGTACAATGCGTTACATTTTCTGGCACTGCCTGTGTGTACATCGTGCCCTAGTTGAGACCTGTGTCATCTTTCAGGTGTCATTTATGTGTATTTATTGAAGCACCTCAGACCAGGGGGCTATTCTGGATAACTTCTTGGATTTAAGGTAGTATGGGCTAAATGAAAGTGAAAGAAGATAAAGACCATTTAACCCAGAGTACCTTAAATCAAACAAGATATCTAAGCAAGAAACCCTGCTTCGTGGAACACCCCCAGGTTTGAAATAGAGATAAGTGAATAATCCTGTATGTTCAAATATTAGTGTGAATAAAAAAATTAAAATTAAAAAAAATCTAATAATGAGCCATTTCAATTACCTGGCAGCAACATAATTAGTTGTGATTAATCCATTCTCTAATGTTTGCACTATATTTGGTTTAAAAAATTTGTGTGAGCTCTGCACACACTCCCTGAGCCAATCAATCATTTTCATCCTAATTCAGTCATATTGTGGCACATTTGTGAAAAATTTTATAAAAATGAGGCGAACAAGAACTGATAAGCAGAAGAGATTCATATTTCACATCATGGAAATATTTTCGATTCCATTGACAATATTGAGAAAAAGGAAGTGATTTGTTAGCACAACTCATTGCAACAAATGTAAGAGCAGATTATGCTGCTGCTTCTAGTTTCATATGCACATTTTAATACTACTTTTAATGTTTTAAGTTTTCCTCTTGCAGCAAGGCGTGATGTCTCTGTGTGTGGAAATAAATGCAAGAGCTTACAAGCCAGAAAAGTATTGTTAGGATCAGGTTGACAAAAAAAAAAAAAAATCACCATAACTTCTCAAGTAACATGCTGTTAAACATTATTGCATTACTGCATTTCAGCTCTTTAGTCGTTTCAATTTAATTTATTCAAGCTACTTTAATTTTTGTGTTATCCTTTTGCAATAACAAATATCACATCTTGGATGCAGAGCAGAATATTTTGATCCATGCTCCATACACATTTCTCCATGGACATGGTGGGGGCGAAATTGAGTATAATATGAAGAAAGACTAGCAAAACTCAAATGGGCATTTCAGGCAGAATTGACATCTGTAGTAAGAAACACTCATTACAAAAGGAATATATGATCATATTAAACATCCAATTTCCTAGGAAACACACAGGCCAGGTACAAGATCATTTAAATGGCAGCACCTACCCGCAGCTGCCTTCTGAAGAGTGAATGCCTGTAACTGTGGCGTGACCACGTTGGCCTTCCCTTCAGACAGGATGGACGAGTCAAGCTTCAGGATCTCTATGCTGTCGTTCATGTTAGATGGAGTTATGCCCCCTTTGCTTGTTTTAGATTTCGTTTTGCGGTTGGGGATTTTGGTGGGAAACTTCATTTTCAGCTTCTTGCTGTTCTCCTGCAATTGAAGACTGTCTTGATATGCATAGACACTTCCATTTCACTGTATCATGTTTCACTTTAACACAGAAGATTCAAAGCATTGAAATCCATTAAAGGTTTATGTTTTAATTATGTTAAGAATATTTTTGTTTCAGTCATACTACAATAAATAAGGTAGAGATGTTTTTGATGGATCAGGTATCAGCTACACGTGACAGATCCACATCCGATACTTACTCATTTAGTTTTTGGCAGTCTCTAAATGACCACCTATTTTGTGTTAAATGTATTTGTACAATCAATCGCACGACAGCTCATCACATTTTACATGTTTTTTTGCGGGATTCAAATAGAACGCTAACGCTGCCACTCCGCTTTTTTTGGCTACTCGATGACTCCACCTGCTGTGACGTCATGCGCATACCCTTCGCAGTACGAGGAGCGCAAGGTAAGACGTGATGATCTGGGAGTATTTTACACTTTTAACAGCAACTAGTAGCACAGCGATTTGAAATCTTTGTAAAAACAGTTTTGAGGGTGGAAGTAGCGTTTAGTGGAAAATCAAGTGGAACGGCACATTATGTATGTTACTGGTAGCGTAATTTAGTTATAATCATTTAAGTAAAAAGATCTCTTGTATCGGAATCTGTATCGGTATCAGCAGTTGAGTATCGGAACTGAAAAAAATCTGGATCGGCCCATCCCTAGTATAAGGTACAGGTACCTTGGCAGTAGAACTGGCACTAGTAAACAATCTGGAGCTCCTCCGTGGCTGCACGTTCGGTGGCGCAGCAATGGTCGGACTCAGCACTTGGGGTGTTGCACTTCCAAAGACAACAGGGAATGAAGGGGAGGGTCGGAGGGAACTATCAATTAACAATGAATTTCCCAGAAGTTCAGATTTAAAATATATAGATTAAAAGTAACCTCTACAGTAGGTAGCAGGGTGGAAAATTTGACAGAGAAAACACTGAATCCGAATCTTCAGACATGAACAGAAACTAAGCCCAGAGTATTTAAGGATCGCACACATAATAAGTAAAACTTGAGCACTAAAATGGGCAAGTGACAATCCCCTCAATTCCCATTTGGCACAGGAGGGCCACATACCCACCTGGTTTGTGGGGCAGTGGTTTGCGTCTGATTAAAAGGTACTGGTATAACATCTCTGCTGTTTCCACTCTGTGCAAACACTGATTTGGTTCCGGTTTGGCCAATTCGGGCAACAGACTGCAATTCAAGAAATTATGAAGTTGGAGAGGAAGGGTAATTATATAAAATACAAATACATACAATGCATTACATTAATATGACATTTACCTAGTCATTGCTATTATTAGAGCTTGACAGCATTAGCTGCTTGCCATGCAGAACACCTGGGCTAAATTCCTGTCATATTATTAATTTAAAGTAGTGTAGCAGCTAACAGACGTTTTGCTAATAAATTACAACTGAAGACCCAAAAGGGTACCCTGCTGCTCTGAAATTAAAGTTGGTAAAAATAAAAAATTATGTAATAAAAAAAAAAAATTCAACTGCAACCACGGGGGGGGGGGGGACGACAAAAAAAAGAAACTCCAAGCCCACCTCTGCTGCAGTGGTCACTGAATGACATGTAAGAAGTGGTGCATCTACCTTCTTTTGTGGGGCTCCAGACGGGGGCGGCTCCATGACAGAACCAGTGTTGGTGAAGTTCTGCAAGTATGAAGGGTCTCCTGGACTGGGCTCCAGTGGTAGAATTCCAAAACTACAATGACATACCCAGGATGGGTTTGATTAGTTTTGCATGTTTCTTTTTGCATGAATGCATGCATAAATCTTTAATGAAATGATTTGTTGTGGGAAGAGTTTGAGAATGAATTGCAGATTATGTCTGAGCAAACTGCCTGAAAACTAGTCATCTAACACAGTTTTTAGCGTTACATTTTATATATGCTGCACAGGCATTAACGCTTCAGTCATTTTGAAGGGCGGGGGGGCGGGCGGGGGGGGGGGGGCTTTTTACTGGCAAACAGGACAAAAGCAAGCACACTAAAACAGCGACAGAACACCTGTATGTGGCTGTGAAGGTATGAGAAGTTGCCCAACATGACAGGAATACATATATTTAAGGTTAAACACAAAGCTCTTTAGACTGGTAAAATTGGAAATGCATTAAGCCAGGAACACTACCTAGCCAGCAGGTCTATGGCTAAGCCATTTTAACGCTCTAGCCAACACTTTTTGCAGTGTTCAGCAAATATCCAGCCATCACTTTGTTTTACCCAGTTGCCTTCCACAGTTGTTGTGGCCGGTGGGAGGAGTTGATCTCAGGTCGTCTTGAAAACCATGTTAATTGTAGCTAACAATCAAAAGGAGCAGCTAAGAATAACATTTGCTTATAAAATTATCCAGACAACGCCAAACGGCACAGGAAATACATGAACACTATTCAGACTGGGAAACAGTTACATTAGAGGAACTAATGAGTAAACTAATGATAAACTGCTGTCAGTCTTATCTGTGAACAATATGGGAAATATAGAAGTGGGAATACTGGGAATAGCTATGCACCCGTTGTTGTACTGTTGCATGGTGTGAATGACAATGAAGTTCACTTACTTACTATATTGCACCACGTCCAATAACACAAATTTTGACAAAAAAATATCACACGTCTAAATGTAATAGATTAACACGCTTTAAAAATTTTTAACACAGTATATACACACTATTCTTGTTCTACCCAAGAATACACAAAACCTACACTGAATACTCAAGCCATTTTTAATCTTGCATTAGCCCAAACCTATTTGTGCATTACCACAAATAATGCAAACTAGATAGCTTAACTATATTTCTTGCCACAGATGGTCTGGTACATCCCAGTCAAAAACAACCCTTTGCTGAGGAATTTTTCTAAATGGTTGGCCCTGCATAAATCCATATTCACAAAATGAATACGGAGCCTTCCTTACCTTCTATTTGAGAAGGAAAAACTAAAGACGGTCTTGCAACTTTCTATACAACAACCTTGCCAGTGTTCAATGATTTAGTTAGAGCTCCTTGACTGGAATATGCATTAACTTGTTTCCCCCCCCCCCCCATCAGTTTTACTATCAAAAGCAAAAGAGATCTGAAAGGGAAAGCTAAGAGAAAAAAAAAAGAAAAGAAAAAAACAAATCACCCACTCCTAATTGTAATATTTCCAAAACAAATGTTTTACAACAAATTCGTTGTGTTAATCATAGAAAGAAAGAAAGATGCCAATGTGACCCTATTTTCAGTATGAGTACGTTATTGCTCAAACTAGGGTTGGCAAAATTCCTTTCCTCTTCCTCAGTCACCGGAAAGGTCTTTGAGTTGGAATCATTTTGTTGTTTTCCTTTCACTTTGTCCTAAACATTAGATGCATTTTTAAATCTGCCACCACTTCTTGTGTACAGTTTGTCACGTTGTATAAGGCAGTACTGTCATTTGTTGGTGCAGTTTATGGGGAAAAAAACTAAGCGCTTGGTTTTATGCAACAAATCTCCCTGCTAATGTGAACACTGCAGAAACATTGTCATGTAAAAATGAGACAGGGATTTGAATCAAGATTGAACTTTGAAAATGATTAATTGTGCAGTCCTCGAAATGCTGAGAGCCAGACTACATCAGGTGTGCGCACGCAATTCCACAACAGCAAACTAAAAAATGCTTTGTGTAAATATTTAACACCAAAATAATGAGGGCAATGCTCTGAAAGGTTCCAAAAACATCACTAGGCCTACATTTTTTAAAAACAAAATTCTTACGTAAATCAACACCAAGAACAGTACTCACTTTTAAAAACCCACAATAATATTTAAAAAATTCAGTCTTCACAAAAAAATAATTAAGCAGTCAAATCTAGCTTTATTATAGCCCTAGGAAAACCAGGGTAAAAACAGCAACTTTGATATATGGTCAGTGTGGAAGCAAACATTTTGTGTTACCCAGTTTTACTAAGGCTACCAGCTGTGCTGCATTAGATGGCCCTATTTCAGCATCCCAAATAGCTGCTAATCAGTTTGGAATGATTACATTTTTCAGAGACATAATTCTGGCCCAAGCTGTCATAATTAAAGACAAAGCATGAATTTGGTTTACAAAATTCGAGGACACTTGATGGGATAAAATCCCTACCTGGGAGTAAGTGGACTGAGAGCAGCTGGTCCGCCTAGCAAACTGCGCCCACTCTTTGGTTTGTTCTGCACCTGCTTGGACAGCAGGGAGCTACCGGTCCCAAGCGGCACAGAGTCAGGGGATATTACAGAGGCATCGATATAGGACACAGAGGAGTCCATATTAAGTGATGAATACTTTGAATTTGAAGATTCTAGGTTGAGTCTATTCAGCTCCTTTAAAAGAAAAGCAAAATATTACAGAACAATGTTTATAAAGGTTCAACAAGGCATTGCTCAAAGCTCTAAATTCTTACATTGTTTTATTATAAATGTAACTGGCCTCTTATTCTAAGATGACAAATATAAATCCAACATTTGTCATTACATAGGATTCAAGTTTTTGTTGAAAAGGAGTAATCCTTAAAAAAGTAAAAAAAAAACTTTTGCTGACAGTCATAAGGGAAGAGTAATGGCACCTACTAAAGTGTCTTGTGGGGTCTCCATCAGTACAGTTTCCACTTGTCTGTGGCAAACATTGTGGCTGGGAGTATGGACCAACCCGACTGGGGGTTGGCTGATGCTGCTGCTGAAATTTTGCAGGGAGGTCAGTTTGAACAATTGATCAGGGTCGGGCTTTTCACCTGCATAAGAAAAACAGCTTTAAAAAGATAAGCAATAAGGCATTTCTTTACACATTTGTTTATTCTTGCACATGGAAATTTCCTTCAAATGTTCCTGAGACAGAGGCAATCATTTCAACATTTTGAGCTTTTAGTTTCAGCCCTGCATTTACTGCTTAGTAAAGTACGGATGATATTGAACAACCAAAGTCCATTACTCACCAATCTGACACAGGGACTCAAAGGGGGACCAAAGAAAAGGATTCAAACTCAGGCTCTTTTGGTAACATTCGGAACCTTTGGCTAAACGATCTGTTTTGCTGCGAAAAAGAAATGCAGGTGGGTATAGTTTACCACACATATTCCCTTGTCCACAGCTTCCAATAAAACTACCTTGATAAGCCGTCAAGTCACAATAGCAGGAGAGCAAGTAATATAAGGCACAAGAGAAACTGACGTGAGGCAATTAGAACAACAATTTCTTTAAAGAAGATCACATATCATGAATTAATGCAAACTAAAACTTAATCCCACTTGGATAGCTTGTCATCGATCAAAATGCAGCAATGTTCCACAATGACTTAAAAGTTATCCCATCGTATTAAACAGTAATTGCACAGAAGACATAAGCAAGGATTGTCTGCAATTAAGAAGGGGAGTATGTTCATCCTACAGCTGAATTCAGTAGATCTCCTACCAGTATATCTGCCCCATCAGAGCCAGTGTGTAGCATGCCAGATCTCCAAATTCTGCAACAATATCATCCTGGCTCTTTTGTTTGTTCAGGACACCTCCAGTTAAGACCTGTTCTCCTTCTGCTAGCCTAAAAACAGAATTATACATACATGCTTTATTTGTTTTGCAGGCTCATTTTTTTTTTTTACTCAGTGACAAAACAGATGACTCCCCCCATTTCTTGTATTTGTCATTTATTCACCAGGAAACTTGCTAGAGGAATTAAATACAAGTTCCAAACTCAAGGGTAAAACAGCAAAAGATTTTAAAGCATTTCTAACAGAAAAGCAGTTATTGAGAATACCCATATAAACAACAGCATGAAAAGACTTCATAAAGACAAGGTATCAGTAATGGGCACCAGCTAAGGCTGTGTATGTTATGTTGCTTTGTACAGTCAAACAAATAAACAAAAGCTAGATGTGAAGTGCACAAGAGAAATCAGACTCTGAAACCCAAGATGGATACGATTATTGTGCATAATTGCCAGGTGGTTTAGCTCATTATATCCAAAACAACCCTAATTAGTAAAGGACAACACTTAAGTGCTTATTAAGGAGAGAGACAACATCAAAAAGCTTAAGATATATAATATTAAAACAACTAACTGTGCATCCTCAGGAATAAGAACACAAAAATGAAAGCAAAAATTGCTAAAATGAATGATCGTACTTGCTTAGGTCTACACAGCACTTGGCAAGGAGATATTTGCATTGTGGTGTTGTGCAGCTGTGCCCTTTGAGAAGGCGATATGCTTTGTAAGCCTTCCCTGAGCGATAGTAGCATGTCGCTAACAGGAAAAGTGCCTCTTCTGAATGCACTGTTGAAACAGAAAACATATTGGGGAAAAAAAGTTATAACCAATTAAATATATATCAGAAACTAAAAACAGGTAACAAAAGTACTTAAATATGGACAAACGTTTAAATGTGGGGTTCTTAGGTCTACATCTTTTCGTGTAAATGGCTTGATGACAAATTGCTTCTGTGCCTCTTCTTGACTTGATAAGGCCATGCTGGCAGATGACAACACTCCACTCAAAACATATGATCTGAGTGACTGACGTCATTACCTTCAGCATATAGTCTCTCAGCTAAAAAAGCAGCATCCCGATAGGCATAGTGGTTAAGTGCATGCCAAACTGCAGCCTGGAAACGAGGAGGGGGAAAAACAGCGTTTAAGTCTTTCGCAGAAATACATGTAGGTCTGTAGGTGACGGTGTGCGCTTATGATAAGCACACCTCATGCAGACTGCGGTCATGCTACGCAAACTGCTATAAAAACTATTTAAATCATGTAGACTACACTTGAGTTAGTGCACGTAGTTAATGCTTGTGTCCATAGTCAAAACACACACTGCCTGACATACATAAATTCTAACAGTCAAATTCATTCATTTAGAAGTACAGCGTAGCCATCCAACTGCACATCCACTACGATTTGCTCACCGACCGACACACACACACCCTACGATTTTTCAAAGGCTCTTATAAAATACAAACCGGGTCAGGGTACTAGCTAGTCATTCAGTAACGCGACGTATTCAGAGGTTCGTAAAAATAACACTGTACACTATAACAAATAAAAAAATGTCGTTTATGTATTAAGTAATACCAAAAAAGAAAACGTTTTAAATATGTTTGTTTAACTAGCAAAAGACTGAACAAATTGTCAGCTACCTCAAGAAATCGCAACAACATCTACGCTAAGTAGCTAGATGACATCGCTTGATTTGAGTCCAAATAGACGTTCCTGGTATGATATACATTCATTACACCAAACACTTTCATCGCGACAAAATGTACAAACGCCAAAAATGTAACCCTTCAAATTAAGTTAGCCGGGTGGCGAGCTAGCTGGCCGCAATAACCATTTACCTCCAGCGAATCACACAGCTAACTAGATTGCTAGCTAAAATGACAAACATTAGCAGCTGTAGCGCTAATGCATCTTGCTAATCTAGCCGACGTAGCATATGCTACAATATCCGTCTAGGCTTTTCGGAATGCTTCAAGCAGGAGAAATCACCACACACATTAAAAAATTGGGATTTACAGTTACTGACAAAAGAACCTGGGACCGACAACTTGTAATTTTCACGTTTATGTTCGCCCCCTGAAAGGCTGGCCGGATAAACAGGCCTCTTTCGTTGCCAGACCGCGGTCTAGGATTCCCACTAGCCGCCAAGGGATAGAGTTTCGGACTGGCGGCTTCAAACTAAACACCATATAACACACATAAAACCTTCCCTGTATCGAAAATGCGTTTTGCTACCTGAACAGGTTCCTGCAGCACCGTCATTCCGTATTCACACTCCTTCTCTCTGCCTATCTCGCCCGCGTCTTTCTGAGTTTAGCGTCTCTTGGTTTTTTTAAGGCCCGAAGGGATCTCCGAAGATTTAAACACATCGACCGTTACCGATAATGTCGAAGCCTTCCGGAAACACACGAAATCTACACGAGATGTGACGAGAATAAACGACAATTCCCGAGCTCGGAGCAGTATAAGCTTAACGGATTTAAAACCATTTAACTGTATAAAAAATGCAGTTCGAAAAAACAAAAGATTAAAATCCTTACTAACAAACGACAATAATGAGTTTTATTAGACCATGTACAACATATGTATTTACAATTAATACAACGCTAATGCAGGAAATACTGAGGTAATGTGGTGCAGTGGATAGCGATCTATTCTACATCTATTCGTCGGTTCGAATCCCATTTTTGGATCAGCAACATACATTTCCAGAGAGGGCATTGCCCAGACCACATTTCTGTTTAGGCACCATTTCAAAACCACACAGAAGACATAAAAAATACACGTACTAAGATAACCAAAATTATTGAAACTTTATGTAACAATTTTATGTAATATGAAGTAAGCAGTGACATTGTTACATTTCTCTAGATGACTAGTTAGTTAACGTCAGCTGGGAAATAGTTTAAAATAATTCAAATAATGTGACACTGAGATGTTACAGTCTGTGTTGGGTTGGTGTTTGGGGGCAACGAGAGAATATTGAAGGACAGTAAATTCTCATTGAGTGACCTGTTCATTGTGTTTGTCTGTCATGGTACTGTTTGTCGTGTGTTGGTGGATGTGAGTAGCCAGCAGAAGTCTAGCCTGTTGAAAATGTGTTATTTTACAACCTTCATTTATTCGTTTAAGTTAAGTTTGAAGTTTATTGTCATATGTACAAAGTACAGCGTACAGAGCACAATGAAATTCTTACTTGAAAACCCCTCCCTCACAGACAAAACATAAGACATAATACACAGAAGACATAGAAGACAAAGCAGTATAATAAATAGGTAAAGTGTCAGTGCATAGTGTTTAAGTGTTTCATCTACTAATGCAAGCTGGTGTCTTTATAAGTTGAATTACTTACCATTGTCTTTCTGAGGTCGGTGTTCTGTCGAGTTGAGCTACTTTGCCAGGTAATCTACCGTAGTGCTAATCGATAGCTCTAACCATAGATTACCTCGACAAAGTAGTTCAACTCGACAGAACGCCGGTACAGTCAACGATAGTTACGTTAACTAGCAAGATAAGCCAAGTACTCTATTTAAAACAGGGTTATTTGGTGAGGTAAAATCGATCATGGTCATTTTCCAAGGAGATGAACTCCCTATGTTTCCATTCTCATTTTATCACGAATAAATTGTGCCTTTCTGAAGTTAATTCGCCACTTAATTAGCCTGTGTGGTTTGTTATTAGGCTAATATTAACGCATAATAAGGTCTAATGTTATGCTCTAAAAAAACATTACTATAAGCGAAACCTATAGGGGCAACGTTAAAAAAACTAGCTAGCAAATAATAAGCCGTATTATTTTAATTTTAGTGGTATTGATTCTGCATTCCACAATTTCATATTTATAGACATTTTTAGAAGCTTCATCTGA